TGTGAAACTATAAATAAAAATACGTGCATGAAACAGCAGACGAGCTGAATGAGATGCAGATTCACTCTTTGCAAGCAGGTGGCGCTTAAAGTGTTTCCTGGTTTCCGCTGTAAACAAAGCAGGGCTGAACTTACGAACTTTAATATGCATTATACAGAGGCAAGATGAAAAGAAAAAATACCATCTAAACTTTTCTAAAAGACAGTAAGTTCCCCTCAGACATACATTCATTTAAACTCCTACACCTAAATTAATCGCAATATGTTTAGCATCTCAACCGATTTGAATCGTCACATATTTGAATCGATTTTCAACCGGCTCGCAGTTAATCGTTAAATCCCTATTTATAAGAGTCATTCATTTTGAACCAGACCTCACTGGTCGCACTGTATGTTCTTGATTCACTATAAAGAAGTTACATTCATGATTTTAATTTCTGGCCTTCCTTGGTTGTACAGAATAGAGCAGCTTGGACATTCAACTAAATATCTTCTTTTATGTTCTATGGAAAATGAAAGTCAGTGTGGAAAATGATCCACTAATCCACTAAATTGAGATTGTTTCTATCAAGTTCATGACTAACCAGAGCTGAGTGAATATGGAGCCAACAAACCAGACAGAGGAGCTACAGCATCCTAAAAACCTTCAAGGTTGTGATGTTAATCATAAAACTAACTGGATGGCATTCTGTCTAGAGGGGCTGAACACTCATCATGTCCTATTCCTTTTTATGCCATTTGGCTTCTATTTTAAAGAGGGCAGATCTGTGGCCATTTTCCCTATGAGTAGAGACATGACCTCCTACAGCAATCTGGCAACCCTTGACATTCCCACATCAAACTGGCAACCACATACCACTATTCAAACCAACTGGCTACTGACCCCCGGCGGGTCACTGATCTCCCAGCATGCAATGGGCCAGGGAGGTAAACTCAGCCAGCAAGAGATGTGATAACATGCTGCCTTATATTTGTGCATGTGTCTCACTGAATCAGGTTTTATCTGCATTTCCTAAGATCGCATGGCACTTTTAGAAGTATATGGTAAACCACAGCAAGAGCAGAACCCTGCTTTCTCATTCCTCCCTGCCACTTTTGTTTCACTTCTCACCATCTTGTGGCAGCCACAATGGTCGGTTGGCTTTCCATCACCAGGCGCAAGACTAAAATACGAGGTCCAATTAACTGGACATATCAGCCCCATGAATCTCTAATGCCGTAAAAGCATTCTGAGATCTGACATCTGCTGAACCACTAAGAGTAGAACAAGAGAAAGAAAGTGACAAGAATAGAGCGAGGCAGTCAGATAAGAAATGCTCGAAAGAGCCTTGTCCTGTAAATGCTTTGAAGACCAGAGATTCATTTTAGCTTCACTTTCAAACAAATAGAAAGAGAAAAAGCCATTCTGAAAATAACCCGGACCACAAAAGTTACTTATATTACTTCTGTCCCGCCAGGCTTCATTGTGTGCCATCGTGGATATTGTACAAATCTTTGCGGGAAACCCTCTAGTGTCCGTACTAGTGCAGGTTGATGTTAATTACAAGGTCAGTCATTGACTGCAGCAGACTGAATTCCCAGAGCTGCATGTCAAACACAGACTTGCGACAAGTGTTAAAAGCTTTGGTTCCCCCATCCACAAATCCTACAACACTCATCCAACCTTATCTTTACAAGAAACCAGAATGAGAGATCCACAATCACTGTTGGATCCAATCACCCGCACACATGGTTCCCAAAAAGTCTTGTAACAGTCTCTGAACAACCATATTAAGATGAAAACTTCCTCATATACACCCTTAAAAATAAACGTTCTTTATTGGCATCTATGGTTCCATAAATAACCTTTCCATTGCACAAAAGGTTCTCTATAGTAGAAAAGTTTTTTTTTTTTGAATATTGAAATGTTCTTCACCCTAAGAAAAAAAAAATGGTTCTTTTAGGAACCGTTCACTCAAACTTTGGGGAACCCAAAATGGTTATTCAATGTGAAAACTCCCTATTGGAACCTTTATTTTTAAGAATGTACTGACTGATAAACTTGTGTAAGAGTTTTCGCAGGAATGAAACATTTTTAAACCAATGTTCTGTCCACAGTCTATCAGCTCTGCCTACTGCTACACCTCCTCCCACGTTCTTTCACCGGCTCAGACGCTAATAAACAGCGTAGCCTTGAGGTCCGAGTGAGGAGGGGTGGGGGGGGAGATTTGAATACACCAATGACAATCATCTCTCAAACAAAAGCAAGTGGATAAGGATGGCAATGGATGCAGAAAGAGAGGGAGGGAAGGAAACGAGAGAAGATGGAAGAATGGAGGCTGAAAAGCTCAGTTTCAGTGAGATTTTTGTTTGCATGCTTCCCAGAATGTGGAACTGGCGGACAATGGAGACTACCTCGGCCGTTTACTCAACACGTCTTCACTGTTTAACACACTTGAGCCAGCGCTGTCGTGATCACTGCGTGTGTGTCTGTAACTGCTGTGCTCACACAGTTTAGAATAAGGTCAGCTTGGTCTCCGCCTCCGTCATCGTAGCAGCCTAACATTTTCTAACCCCCTCCTCCTAAACACACACACACACACCACTTGATGCATTCAGCCAGAGACGCCGCTACAGTAGGCCCCCCTAACCCCGGCTTTCAATGAAAACACAGCGTCACTATGACAACGGGTTCAAGCATTTTTTGACCCGTGTTCACTAGGAGGGTATTATAACACAATCAGCAGCTTCTATTGTGCAGATCTCTGCTCCTTGTAGCCTACATTTTGGTCTGGAACTAGAAAGATGAACTGGTGCAAGTTTTACAATCATAAAACTAGCTTAAACCCGTTTCCTGTCTACATAGCTCTCAATTTCAAAAGCAACAAGCATTTTTATTAGTGTGTTTGAAGTTGGTCTAATTGTTTTTAATACGCGTGCAATGAAAATGAGTCTGCAGGGGACACTGAGTCGAGCATACAAAACAATACCTTGACCCTTAAAATATTTTGCAACTGCTGTGTATAAAGGCAAAAGCTCCCAGGACACTGAACTAAAAAGTGAGTGACGTGACATGTGGCCAAGTATGGTGACCCATACTTGGAATTAGTGCTCTGCATTTAACCCATCCAAAGTGCACACACACAGCAGTGAACACACACCCGGAGCAGTGGGCAGCCATTTATGCTGCGGCGCCCGGGGAGCAGTTGGGGGTTCGGTGCCTTGCTCAAGGGCACCTAAGTCATGGTATTGAAGCTAGGAGAGAGCACTGTACATTTACTCCCCCCACCTACAATCCCTGCCGGTACGAGACTCGAACCCGTAACCTTTGGGCTACGTGTCCGACTCTAACTATTAGGCCACGACTTCCCCTGGAGCGGATGCGAAGGGAAGGGAAGGGGAGGGGAAAAAAAAAAAAACAAGGCCTGTTTACACTGTTTGCTTAAGCGAGGCAATCATGACCCCTTCTGCCTCCATCCAAAGTGCACACACACAGCAGTGAACACACACCCGGAGCAGTGGGGGGCTCGGTGCCTTGCTCAAGGGCACCTCAGTCGTGGTAATGAAGATGGGAGAGAGCATGGTGCATTCACTCCCCCCACCGGTACGAGACTCGAACCCACAACCTTTGGGTTACAAGTCAGGCTCTCTAACTATTAGGCCACGACTTCCCCTGGAGCGGATGCGAAGGGAAGGGAAGGGGAGGGGAAAAAAAAAAAAACAAGGCCTGTTTACACTGTTTGCTTAAGCGAGGCAATCATGACCCCTTCTGCCTCTGCTCTGTTCATAAATAAAACAAATCCTTTGTTTCGTTATTCTAGTTTTCCTGCTGAAGTGCAGTCGATGTACTGTGAAATGGGCCCAGGCAGAAGAGGTCCAGAACATGAATAAGTTAAAGGAATGAATTGTTTTTTAGTTACGACAAAGAACTGCATCCTATGATGTCACAAACCTTCGACACATCATATCCTCCTAATGCATTATGTCTTTAGATAGATAGATGCTTACCATAAATGTATGCATATTGCCTTGTTAAACAAAATAAATTAAATAAATGCATATTTTACATTGTGTGTGCTCGGTTAGACACTCAGTTTTTCATGGCACTCGCACCAGCCCGGCTCTCTTGCTGTCAGGTGTAATGCATATGCGAGGCGTGACACGGCCACTGAATAATTAAACTGCAAAGACAATGAAAAGTCCCTGAATCTACGATCAAAAGGAGCAAGAGAAATATGACGAAACAATAAGGAGGGACGTCAGCCTACGATATGAACAGCTCTGGGATCTGCCGGTAAATTAATGACTGACTGTCGGGCAAATTAATTAATTAATTAATTAATTAATTAAAATTCAACAAAATGACGCTCTGAAAGAGTAATTTTAATCTTTAAAAGAAAACGGTAAAATAATACCAAGTTGAAACCCACATTTAAAAAAAAAAAATAATAATAATAGTAAGAAACACCCTGTTGCTTGCTTTTGTTGCGTGATAGAGAAACTGATTTACATTCATTTATGTCCCTTCATCTGGAAATAATAGGGTATGACGCAAGGGCGTGAGGAACCGAAAGAAGTGTGGCACGAGGAACAGAGAGCACTTCAGGACGACTGGGTAATGTCCGTAGTTTCGCAAACAAACACACCTGTCAACACGTAAGAGGGGAAAAAGCACTTCCAATGCCACACCTAGAGAAACATGGCGCTTCTCGAAACCAAACTCATACAAGGGACAAGAAACGAGACGAAAGGTCAAACCGGCAAAGTTATTCTCCCTCACACAATGAAACACTGGGCGAGTTAATCAAATTATTTGAAGATGAATACAGTCGTCATTAATGTAGTCAGATAGCAGCGGGAGAAGCGCGCGCACGATTAAAGATACCCTGAAGGATATTTCTATCACGAGCGCTTTGGTTGAGTCTAACGTACATATTAAAAGTAAAAGAGAACCATGTATTTTACAACCGGAAACAATTTGTGATTCCTTTCACTATTGAAACATCATATGATTTGTCTTACCTTGAATAATTAGGAGAATGAGTGCGTTTAACAGTCCTGACATGTTCATCGGAGGGAAGGGTGGACAGTCCACCTTTAATAATTTGTCGGGTTTCCGCTTGTTGAGCTCAGAGTCGCAAAAAATATATCAAAACAGATAAAAACTGTTGTGTGGTTCCTCAGGTTTTCTTTAAAGGACGAGCACAGAAACTTAATGTTGAAGTGCGTCGCTGTATTCAGCGCGTTCCTTTTCAGTTGGTTTACAATCAGGTGTCAAAACTCCTTTTGAATCGTATTAACAGCTGAGGTGACCCGGTGAAGCACGTCCTACAGGTGAACAAGTGTCCGCTGAGTGCTCGAGGTGAGTCTCACACCGCCAGCGATCGCTCTGCTGAAACTCTCTCAGAAGCGGCGCTCATTGGACACAGTCGTGTGACGTCACGCCGCAGAGACTGTTTTAATGAAGCCACCTAAAATCCAGAGGACGCTTTGGTACTTTCCAACTGGAGATTCTGACCGTTGCACTTTTAAGTTTAGGCGACTAAACGATCATTTAATCCATTCGAACTTTTGTCGTAATTATTTGTAATATTGTAATGTAATGTAACAATGTAATATTTCTAGCCTGTTCAAAAAGGGCTATTATGTTCTCCGTTCTGAAGAAAAAAAATACAGCCAAAGATGTTTTTCGGACTTCCCCGATTCAGTACGTTTAACAATGAAACTAAACTGCTGGATTTGTACTTTTTCCTCTTTTAATTTTTAGTTTCGTTTCCAGCTGAACGTAGATTCATTCAGCATGAGGTTCCTGGAGTTACCGGTAATGCAAAGGAGCAAGTAATGAGAGCCAGAGATATTTTGGGAAAGTCTAGTTTCAAGTTTCAAGTTGTCGAGTTGTGGTGACTGAAGCTCTAGCACTCCCCCTGCTGGTAACATATACAGCCAGCTGGAGATGAGCGCAAATGTTTCCATTGCATTAGAGTTCTACAGATCTACATTTCCGACAGATCTTATGTTCAGAAGTTATGCTGATTTAGCAGGCTATTTTTCCTCAGATAGAAGGCAAAATAGTCAACAAAACTGTTTGAGTGAGTTTATGACTGCTGAAATAGGTCTTGATTATACCTCGGTAGTCACACACATTCAGTAGGCTATCTGTCACTTCCACCACCCCATTAAATGATCCCTCTCTCTTTATTCATTCTCTCTCTCTGATTGTTTGCACGGGGGCAATGACACGTACAGTACTGCGACTCTCATTAGCTGCTTTGCCCTAGTTTGCTCTCTCTGAAGTTTCACTTCCCCTGCTCATTTACCCCCGTCCATCCTTTCTCCATTTCAGTTTTCTTCATTTTTATCTCTTTTCTTTAGACCCTCTCACATTCTTTAGCTTGGGGTGATTAGGAGCTGAGCTGGTAATGGGACTTGGAGGTGCTGATAAGTCTGTTAACTTTAATTAAAGACATTTACGGGGATGTAAAGACATTTAGCTAGAAGCTGAAGACCATTTCTTGTAGCATTATATCACTCGCTCACCAATCCTCTGCAGTGAATGGGTGCCGTCAGAATGAGAGTCCAAACAGCTGATAAAAGCATCACAATAAATCCACAAGTAACCAAGTATATCGACACAACTCCAGTTCATCAATTAATGTCTTGTGAAGTAAAAGGCTGCACGTTTGTAATTAACAAATACATCATTAAGTCTTTTTAACTTTAATCCATCCCATATAGCCAAAATACAATTCCGTAATAATGCTTGTCCAGTGAAAAAGTCCAACCTCTGTTATCCTCTCACATAAAAACCCACTGACATATTCGTTTAGAACAGTTATTGAATTGCAATGGTCTGAAATAAAAAAAGCATGCAGCTTATTATGTTTTTATCAGCTGTTTGGCCTTGCTTTCTGACGGCACCCATTCACTGCACAGGATCTTTTTGTGAGCAAGTGATGTAATTCTAAATTTCTCCAAATCGGTTCCGATAAAAAACAAACTCATCTACATCTTGGATGGTGTGAGAGTGAGTACTTTTCAGCAAATTAAAATTTTTAGGTGATATGATACAGTATGTTTGATTTATCTAAATGTAATGAATTTTCAGTAAAATGAGTAAAAGAGTGTGTGACTTCTTGTACCTAAAGAATCTGGTTTGTATAGGTGATTTGTGGAATGATGTGGTCATGGTACGTGAGGACACGTCTGTCACCCTGTCCTGCTTTGATTCACCACCCACATCTTCTGTACTGGTTACCTGGAAGATGATGTCAACAAGGGAGGATCGCTGGTCATATTTGTTATCAGCCACCTGCATCGATGGACAAACAGATGGACGCAGCAGCAGAGTATTTGGAGGCAGAACTTTTGAGATCTCTGCCGATGCCTCACTGATCTTCAGAGCCGCAGCAGCTGCGCAAGGACGCTACTCCTGTGTAATAGAACAGGATGACAAGAAGCTACAGGAGAGGATTGTTCTTCTCGCCCTGATTAAATGTAGACTACACAACTGCACCACAACACGTTCTTCATGTCTCAATGTGTTTGACATCTCCAGGTATTCTCTCCTTCTCTTTTTTGTAGTAACTGTCACTCCCACGCCCCCTGTCACAGTGGACAGTACTCTGAGACTGGCAGCTCAGGTGTCTCCCTCCTCCGTGGTTGCCAGGGGAACGTGGGTGTCTCCCTCGGGTGAACAGCTACACACTGAAATCTCCTATGGAATGGGCAGTCTGCTCAGCAAGCTGCCTCGCGTCACCAGCAAAGACAACGGAGTCTATACCTGCAGAATCCTTGTCCATGGTAACAGTGGCAATTCTGTCTCGGAGCACCGGGTGAATGTGACAGTGAACGGTGAGATTTTGAGATTTTTTGAAAACACAATAATCAGATAAGTTGCTTAGTCAATGTTATCTAATAAACATGATTTAAAAGGGCATACTGTAACTGTAACTTATAATAAACAGAATGTTCAAATAGTTAACATATAGTTACCATTCTTGGTGTGAATGGGCCTTTCGTCTTGAATTGTGTCAGGTTTTGATTTACTAAAAATGTAATTTAGTTTGTACAACAGTTAGTTCTGTTACTCGATTTAATTTGTTGAGAGGCCTCAATTTTTCCTTTCTCTTTGGATTGTTAAAAGCTCTTGGTGCATAAAGAAGATCTGTAAAGTTGCAAAGACTAAAGTCTCAAATCCAAAGAGATATTTATAAACGTTAAGAGTCAACCACACCTACCTAAAACGGCTCCTTCAAACACGCCCCCGCATGTCTACGTCACTATGTGGGAAGAGTTGCATAAGATTTTGCATAAGCCCAAATGTTCACACAAAGAAAGAATGCGTAACTTTTATTCTCGCTGTAGTATTGTTGTTGCCGCCGCCATGTCGTGAAGACGCTGTGTGTTTTGTTATGAAAGCAAAACTACTTTGTTTGGCCTTCCAAAAGAGGATACAACTAGAAATCAGTGGTTAAGTTGTATTTACAACACTGTTCCAGAACAGTTCAACCCAAATATTCAGATGTGAGCAACGCATTTTACGGAGGACTAGGACTGTTTCCTGGGAGAGTAGCCTACAATGCCGGTGTTCTGACAAATAATGCTGACTCATAGCCTGTAAGTATGCTTTTATATTTAAAGGATTTGCCACTGAGGATTCAAACGCGAGTTTTGAGCAATGTAGAGTAGCGCTTGTTTGTCATTTCTCTGATCACAAATGCAGACATGGTTTTATGTTTACGTTGCGTGATGCAATGCAACGCATAAAAATACAGTATAAGTCATGTAAGAAACTCTTAGTGGTACTGCTTATTCGTAGGGGGAGCATCACAATGGGATGTCAGTTAAAACACCTTGAGGCAATATCCATTTACAAGTTTTATTTCACCAATGCCAGTACATGACTTCATCCACAGGTATCAGACTGGTTTCTGAACTTAAACAAAATAAGTAAATAAACAATCAAGGAATTGCAAATAAATCCAAACCATACAAAACAAACAGTAAACTTACATCTGTACACAGCCAAACACCATATGAAATAATCCAGAGCAGTGAACAAGGAATGAACTGACTACTGCTCGGAAGCAACCCTTCTTAAAGGCCCCTAATTGGAGCCAGAATAGGATGCAGCTGTCAACAGTGGGTGGAGCTACAATCACCATGTCATAGGTTTTCCAACAAGTCATTATAATCCGTAATTATGTCCCCACTGGATGCAACAAATGCCTAGTTTGTAATGGGTTTTATTGGTTTTGTCTCATCGCTCCGGGACACGGCATCAACAGTATGTGAGGGGCGTAACATTTCCGTCACATGCTTGAGGTATTCGGCCAATCACAATGCACTGGATAGCTGGTCAATCAGAGCACACCTCGCTTTTCAGAACGATGAGCTTTGTAAAAATCGACACGTTTCAGAAAGGCGGGGCATAGAGGAGAAACAATAATGTACAGTATGTGGAAAATAATGTGTTTTTTAAACCTTAAACCGCATAAACACATTTCATTACACCAAATACACAAAAATAATGTTCTTTTTTAGCAACGTCATATGACCCCCTTAAGCCAGATTTTGATCACATCTAGTTGACACTTTACTATCCCATAAGGCCTTGGGAGGGGATTTGTTAATAGCAGTGATGCGATGCAACTGACATTGGTAGGTCACATGACAATGATATCATGATAAATGTAGCCCTGTATGACTGGATTACGTTTATACTACACAGATTCATACTATATAGAGCACAAAGTGATGACTTATTTAAAAGAAGTACATACTCAAAGAGTTGTGATTTCACACACAGCCACAGTCTTTATGAGTGAGTCACTGAATCATTCACTTAACCAGTTCATTCGAAAACACTAATTCAAGATTACACCACTACTGGGTGTTGCTCACATAAGCGGTGGTTGATTCTGCTTAACTATTGTTTGGAACTATTTTCACTGATGAAAAACAAAAATAGACATAAACTGTATTATTGTGTATACATTTTTTTATTCATATTTAATTCAAACAATGTTGCAGATCTGAAACTACAGTCATAAAAAGACAGAGAATATCTCAGCCTTATTAAACAACATCTAACTCTCTCTCTGTGTCCCACTCTTTCTTTTTCTCTTTCAGTGAAAGCCGTGTTTTCTTTCACAGACGTGACACATGGTAATATGTTCTTTTGCTACTGGAATACTATTGTGTATAAAATGGGACCTTACTTACATGCCTTTTACCCAGCAGCCTACACTAGTCAATGAATCCTAAACATTCTCCATCAGGCTCTTTTAACTCACTGAATACTGAATTGTTTTTCAGTTAACCTCAACATACTTTTTGAATGCTTGAATGATAACACAACAATAAACTTTTTAAATGTATTT